TTCATTTGTCTATTTCACCACACGTTCTTCTTACCGAGTAACTTTCTCAGTTCGATACTTAAAAGCAATGTCATTATTTAGCGTTGACAGAATTTTCTAACTGTGATATAGATATGTCGCTGTCACAGACAAAACTCAATGTCTTGTTTTATTGACACCTGTGTGTCTGCTAATGACAATATTCAATACACAACTGCGATCACTGACCACATGCAATTTGAACTTAACACCAATCAGGCTATACACCATAAACAAAACGCATTGATTTATGGCCCAAGTTCGGTCTCTGTCACATTATGTAATTACACAGACAGGCAGGTGTGATACTTGAACACATGACATGTTATGATGTCTGTTGATTGCTAAATGTTATACACAAAAAATGAGCATGTATTTACAAAACCCAACATCTCTATATATACACACACAATAAGCCGTGAAGGCGGCATCTGCTAATGAACCAGCCGTTACACTTGAGTGCACACCCACCCGCTCTGACTGGGTTCGGTATCCCGGCTGCTTCGTTTCGAGGGAGGTAAACCCAAGTACAAAATATTGCACTTTTGATTTGCGATTATACGCTTATAATTTTGTTTATTTGATTTTCATAATCAGCAATGCATATTATATGTCATGAAGAAGTGATAATTGTGTTTTAATTATGTTTGATTTTTTGGTTGCATGTGACCTTTAAACTATTACTCCAAATTACTGCAACCATGGCTTTATTACAGTGGAATTGCAATGGACTCCGAGCCAACGGGCATGAGCTTAAGGCATTCATTGCCCAAAACAAAATTTCCCCCCAACTAATTGCTGTGCAAGAAACCAGATTATCACCCAAAATTGCCTTTAAAATACCAGGCTATATTTTAATTCGGAAGGATAGACCTCGGCCAGTAAATATCCCAGGCCCCCCTTCCGGAGGCCTGGGCATCTTCATATCAGAGAAATTAAACTATACCACTTTCGAAATCCACACCCAAGATCTAGAAGTCCTGGCAATAAAAACAAATCTTAATAATAAAGAATTTACCATTATAAATGTATATAGAAGTCCCACACATAAAATCACTACTAACGATTTAGAAATACTCTCCAAATTCATAAGCCCATATACCATTATCCTCAGAGATTTAAACGCACATCACCCACTGTGGGGCACAAGACCTTTAACCGATATTAATGGAACTGGACTAACCGACTGGCTAGATAAACACAAACTATCCTCACTAAACGACAACCAACCCACAAGATACCCACTCTCCCGCCTACAATCACCTACAGCCATTGATATCACATTCACCTGACCTAAACTAACACAATCATGTACATGGGAGGTCCACGATGACACCTGGGGCAGTGACCACTGCCCCATAAAAATCACAATTACATCACTCCCCCCACACACACACACACAACAACAAACACTACCAACAATACACAATCACACCCCGCTGAACTTAAGTTCAACCTGAAAAAAGCAGACTGGCCCCAATTTACACTTTGCAAACAACTAGACACAAACAACATCTATAGCTACACAAACGCCATCATAAACATCACAAAAAAATGTATCCCCACTATTCGGACCAACACCGCACTAAAAACAGTCCCCTGGTGGAGCACAGATATCATAAATGCCAGAAAGGCAAGGAAAAGGCCCTTAACCAATCATAAAGGGACCGCTCAAAATTATATTTGGCAAACAAACTACGAAATAATAAACAACTTATAAAGGCAGCAAAAATCTAACATTGGAGAAAATTCTGTTCAACCCTTAGGCTAAACAAGTCCAACACTCGGCAAATGTGGAATAAATTTAAAGCCATAAAGGGCATTTCCCAAAAAAATCATTTCACCCAACCTTCCGGACCTGACCGCAAACAAAGATAAGGCTAACGCTATTGCTGTCCACTTTTCGGCCACCAGTAGCTCCACCAACTACCCACCACAATTCCAAAACACCATATAACCACCCCCATAGATTTCAGTAAAGCATTTGACATGGTTTGGCACAACCGCCTCCTACAAAAACTCCAAAACATGCCATATACGGTCGAATCCTAAATTTCATTCATCTTTCTTAAACGACAGACAAATAACAATCAAATCCCACAACACCATTTCGGATCCCTATCCTATAGAAAATGGACTGACTGACTGACTGAGTTTAGTTTTACGCCGCTTTTAGCAATATTCCAGCAATATCACGGCGGGGGACACCAGAAATGGGCTTAACACATTGTGCCCATGTGGGGAATCGAACCCGGGTCTTCGGCGTGACGAGCCAACGCTTTAACCACTAGGCTACCCCACCGCCCCCTATAGAAAATGGAACCCCCCATGGGAGCATAATATCCCAAACTTTATTAAACTTTATGATTAATCATATATTTCCAGAAAAATGGCCTGAAATCTCAACTGCCAAATTTGCCGACGAAATTTCATTTGGACCTCTTCCACCTCAGTAAAACTGGCATCCATTAAAATCCAAAGAATGTTAAACTGTATTCAAAACTGGGCCCAAAATTGGGGGTTCCACATACATGTTAAAAACAACGTGGACATACTATTCAAAACTCAACGAATGCAAAATTATACACCCAAACTACACCTAAATAACCAAGAAATTGAGTTAAAAAAGAAGCCAAAATCCTAGGAGTAACTTTTGACCACCATATGACATGGACACCCGACATTCATAACTTGGTCAACTCATGCCAAAAAGATTTAAACTTAATGCGAGCCATCAGCGGCACAGACTGGGGTGCCGACAAACACACCCATCAAAATATTTATAACGCTCATACTGTCGAAAATGGATTATGCCGCTCCGGTTCTCCATAACCTCACCCCCCAATAACCTGCAAAAATTAAATTCAGTTCAATTCAAGGCCTTCAACTTGCCACGGGCACGAGAAGTGGTACCTCCCTCAATACACTTCTCCTCATCACAGGCCCCTCTTCAGTCACCCATAGAATTAACCAAACCACACTCACTTACTGGGCTGGGCCCAACACAACCCTATCTTCAAACTAATCACAAACAATACAACAACACCTAAAAATCTACACTCAAAAAGTTTAAATGCAACCCATCTAAAGCTCCATGCCTCACCTACCTCAACAGTCTGCTACATGCAAACAGCTAAACACTATACAACACACATCTCCCATTACAAGTTACATTCACGACAAACCACCACTAATTACAGACACCACCCTAGCCTCCACCCTACCAAACTTGCCAAACAACACACACACACACAAAACTAAACATAATAAACAACCACATCAGCACATATTACCCATCCCAAACCCACATCTACACAGACGCATCCATAAACACAAACAACAACATAGGTATCCATGTACAGCAACTCCCCCTTTAACAACAAACCTGCACTATACTAACCATACCACGATCAATACTGCAGAACTAACCGCAATTCTCACTGCACTGCACTTAATACCCACTCTTCAACAATCAAACTTCCTCTTACTCTCCGACTCGCTCAGCTCCATCAGACAACTACACAATATGCACTCAAAATCACGCCCAGATCTAATCCACAATATCACCATTCAAACCGATTCACTTAAACGCTCACATAAAAACATAACATTCATATGGATACCCAGCCACACTAACATACCAGGAAATAACACTGCAGACACAACTCAGCCAGTATCAACTTCCACACATCCAAAACAGAAATCAAACAACTCATTAAATCAAACATAACCGAAACAAACTTTTAACACAACATAAACACCAACAAATCAACATGGTTAAAAACATCATCAAAACACCTATAAAGAAAATTCCTACATTCTCTAACATCAAAAACATTGACACGTGCATAACCCGACTAATTACAGGCATTACAAATCTCAACTCCCCACTATACAAGCAAAATAGACACCTTGATGGACTATGCACCCACTGCAACACACCAGAGGACATTAACCGCATATTCACACAATGCCACCTACAACAAACACACATTAGGGAACTACACAGCTCCATACCTCCAAAATACCATAACAATATACATCTCCTACTCAATCCGCATAATCCCCCCAGCATATTCAAAGCCCTAGCCACTTTCATTCAAAATTCTAACATTATGCATAAAATTTAGACCCTCCCAAACAAATTACCAAACTTGTTTCAAATTTATTCTTAGCACCTATATTTAGAAAAGGGATCTAAATTCACATTCCATAGAGCGGATGTCCTCTCCGACGTCCGCGCGACTCACCTCAAAACAGCCATTTCGATCCCCTTCACCTCTCCCGGCTACGGCTTACCCTTACAACTCTAGCTCCAACCCTACAGCATTCATTGTCTTCTCCGACGTCCGCGCCCCTAGCAATCACTCCATTTCAATCCCGTCTCATCAATCACTCTCACCACCAATCTCCCACTTCTCCCCTCAGGCACGGCCACCCACCCAATCTTCCCTACCAACTCGCCTTCTTTGCTAACACAATACCCCACCCCACCCCTCCCCTCCCCTCCTTTAAACCCTATTTGTTTATTTTATAGGCCCCCTTATCTATACCACAATACAGCTTAACGCCTATGCAAAACCTATTTCTCATTTCCCCCACCCCCACCTTAGGCCCCCGTTTTCTCATAACCTACCAACTAGTTACCACTCCTTCTCTTAGCAAACCACAAACTACCTTTTGTTTTCGCTTCCTTTCCCTTTATAAATTCGGCTTTTCGTTATTTTTATCTTATGTTTTAACGTTTCTATTATAAATTCATTTAGGTTAACGTCCCTACATTTACATTTTTTGGGGCATGGTGTATTATTCCTTATTACCAACTATTCATATTTATTTTTAAAACCCACCTGACCCGTCGGCAAAATTGGCTCCCGCCAGAAGCCGACGTAAAATCATCAAATTCGTCGTTCGTCGTCGTCGGGGGGATGCTATCACTTCATCCGAACAACAGAGTGAATCATTACTAAGACAAACAAATCATGGAAGAGAACTGGGAGTTAGAATTGATTACCTTGGAGACACCATCACCCTCACCCTCGCCACCCTTGCGGGCACGGCAGTGTACTCAGTGCATAGGAGGTTTACCCGTGTATGCCAGCGGCACCATAGAGTACAATGGCACTTTTTGCTGTGTTTACTGTGCCACCATATTGAAAGGTACCTATATTCGCCAGTTGACACATGGCAGTAAGTGTCCGGTAAAAACAAAGCTAGATATTCACTCATGTGAGTGTATATGACCCATCTGTAGACACTGTGAGTGAGGTACACCCTCACTCTACAAAAGAATGCTACATCCAATGCAAACAACACTAATAACCACGATAGGTTGACATTTTGTCAAACGTTTATTTCCCCCCTAACAAGGACACTTTGACAAAAGATGCAGGATTAGGGGCGTCCCTGATCTTTTGTTCCCAGAACTGTGTATTTTCCGAGAACGGCTAATTCAAATAGTCTTTAACGTAGGAGCCCTGCGTTGACATTCTGGGCGATAACATTAAATTCATCTATTGGTTTCCAGTTTCATCTGTGTACCATCTTGGGCACTGGAGATACGTCCTTTTGGCTGAACACTTTAACCCCTAATCCCACCCACTGCCCCAATAACCTAGAATTGGTGCTACAGCGATAAAACTTCTGTTACAGGAACCCATGGCACTTCCTTGACTTCATCTTTTACAACTCTTCCTCTGGTAAGAAGTTTAAGAAACAGTGTGACTTTGTACATCGCTGGGCGGAGGACATCATCGAGAAGAGGCGACAGACCTTGGTCAGTGCCTCACTAAAAGCAAACAAAAAGAAAATAATTTGTATGATGCATTACAGAATAATATCCAGAGACAGAATGGGTCCTCCTTAAGATTGTATTGCATGTAACCTAGTTCTGTGTTGTACTACTGAATTGTATTCATCATTGTACTTTGTATACACCATTGTACTATCTATAAAACATTGTCCTGTGTTTAACATTTTATATATACAGGCGAGAGATGGACCACCAAAGACCCGCTACCTCGACTTCCTGGACGTCCTGCTCAGTGCCAGAGATGCTGATGGCAAGGGTCTCACCCCGCTAGAGATCAGGAATGAAGTCGATACGTTTCTATTTGCAGGTAAGGCCACAACTCCTGTCGCAGTTTAGCGGGGTAAATGTTTGTTACATATTTGCAATTTGTTTTCAAAGCACAAAGTACTAATTTACACGCGCGCACAAACGTAAGCACGCGCGCATACACACAAATCATATCATTTCATTGTTATCTCAACCAACCAACAACTACCCTGACCACCCCGTCTTTCCCGAACTTGGGCTGTGACATCATAGTGGAGAGACGTACGCCAGTTTCTATAAAGTGCATTAATCTACATGGAAAAGAAGTGATTTTCCCGCAAGTCTCGGTATATACAAGACATTGTATTGTGTTTTCGAGTAGGGAAGTCATATTTCTATAGTTTCGGAATACGAGTGGATTTTACTTGTTTGTTACTAACTTTTCATTGAGGACTTTGTCCTCCCCGATGCTTGTAATATGCTTTAAAAATAACTTAAGCCCATCTTTAGTTTTAACAGTATCTCTCCTTTAAGCCATTGATTGCTGAAAGCAAGTGTAATAGCAAATACGGTTTGGTGAACATCGCTCTGGAAACTATTGGTCAAAATTGAAACTTACCGATCCTTCCTCACTGATAATTTTCCATTTGTGTATTTTCGTTTCCTGACAAAGGTATAAATGCACTGGAATGTAATCAGAAACTTTATTTTATTGCTTATTTTAAAAGTGAAAAGGGAATAGTTTCAGGCTGAAGTTTTGTTATTTGGCATCTGGAAGGAATTAGAGTGTATATAAGTTAGAGCGGGCTTTATTGTCTGAATGTTCAAGAACTTACCTATTCGAACATAAGGAACCATACAATGTCTTTTTTATATTTGGAGAACATAAAGGACCCTTTGTTTTATGTCGTTGTTTTTGTCTTTTTTCTGCTGATAAAGGTCACAACACCACGGCCAGTGGAATATCATGGACGCTGTTCACCATGGCCTCCAAACCCGAGTTCCAGACCAGGATCCAGGAGGAACTGGACACACTGCTGGACGGAAAAGAGTCCAAGTACATCACCTGGTAGGGCAGATCAATTGGTAGGGCACATCACATGGTAGGGCAGATCAATTGGTAGGGCACATCACATGGTAGGGCAGATCAGTTGGTAGGGCACATCACCTGGTAGAGCACACCACATGCTAGGGCACATCACCTTGGTAGGGCACACAACCTGGTAGGGCACAATACTTGGTAGGGTACATCACCTGGTAGGGCACATCACCTTGTCATAGGAATGTCACTGGGTGTGGTGCTTCAGTTAAACGTTTCGTGGCTGTGTGAGCACAACACACAAGTGTTCCCAGTTTGCTAGAAGTCCTTAAAAATGTCACTTGCTGGTCACGTGTCCCAAGAGGATTGGCCTGCATATGTCGTAATGCTATGCTTGGCTATTGGGTTTGCGACGATTGATTGGACAATAGAAAGTTCTTTAAATTTCCATATGTTACAGGAATGACATCCCAAAACTGGAGTATCTGACACGATGTCTAAAGGAAGGAATGAGATACCACTCGCCTGTTCCCTTCGTCAGTCGGAAACTGGAACATCCTATGGATATCGACGGGAAGGTCTTCCCAGTAGGTACACTCATTTTACTGGGGATATGGAATGTCCATCACAACCCGGAAGTGTGGGAGGACCCGGATGTGTATGACCCTGATCGGTTCCTACCCGAGAACATCCAGAAGAAGGACAGCTACGCATACATCCCCTTCTCCGCTGGCCCGAGGTAGTGCTAAACTTGTAATTAATGATTACGATAACTTAGCGTGAGTGAGTGAGTATGGTTTTGTGCCGCTTTTAGCAATGTTCCAGCAATACCATGGCGGGGAACACCAGAAATGGGCTTTGCATATTATACTCATGTGGAAAATCGAACCCGGGTCATAGGCATGAAGAGCGAACGTTTTAACCACTAGGGTACTCCACCCACCCTTTAGATTAAAAGAGATCACTGAAGCATTAACATAACGCGTGTTATAAGCCATTCCTAGCTTTTTTCTGTTGTATCTTCGTGTGCATGAATCATAGTCAAGTCTGTAGAAACAGCAGGAAGCATTACGCATACACAATATGTACAAATATAGATCATATTAAATACTAGGCACATAAAGAAACTGTGCTAACACAAATTTAAAATCTAAATTTATCAAACCTGTGTACACACATAAAGGATTTAAGCTCAGAGATTAGTGACGTGTATCCAACATGCATGCACGTGCCACGTGCCACGTTCCGTGACGTCAGTGGGTTCGTCCTTGAGACGTGCAATACGTTGCTGCACGTGCATTCCGGGAAAGAGAAACAGAGCAAATGAATGCCACACAATACTGTCACTTTGGAAAGCTCAACCCCTGCCCTCGCGATCGTTCAAAAAATTAAATGGCTATTGAAACGCATAGCATGCCAAGGCTCACGTCTGCACAACTTCATGAGGCCATTGGGATGGTCCGTGGGGGAATGTCTCAACGACAAGTGGCTGCACATTTCCACTGCCACCGGAACACCATTTCTGCACTGGTGAGACGCTACCAGAACACAAATGACGTCATCGATCGGCCACGTTCTGGACGTCCACGTGTAACAACGCCAAGAAAGGACAGATGGATAAGGGTGACCTATCTTCGCCACAGGTTTCAGACTGCAGTGACGACTGCCCGAACCAGCCCAGGACTTCGCCGTATCCACCCCAACACAGTTTGACAACGTTTACGTCATCACGGGATCATACCACGACGTCCCGCCATACGGCCTATCCTGACACAACGTCATCGACAAGCTCGCCGAATGTGGTGCCGAAATCATGTCCGCAGACCCTTGTTTTGGTGGAGAAATGTTGTTTTTACAGATGAGTCCAGGTTTAAATAGTGATGGACGTCAACGTGCCTATAGACATGTGGGAGAACGTTATGTCTTGGAGAGGAATCGCTTTGGTGGTGGTTCCGTGATGATTTGAGGTGGAATAACAGCACACGAAAGAACTACTTTGGTGATTGTTCAGGGCAACTTAACAGGTGTGGGCTACAGGGATCAGATTCTTCGACCTGTGGCAATTCCTTTTCTGCAACGTCATGGCCCTGGGTTAACATTCCAACAGGAGAATGACCGCCCTCATAAGGCAAGGGTTGCTATGGATTTCTTGCAACACCACAACGTTGACTTACTGCCTTGGCCTGCAAATTCACCGGATCTCTCCCCGATAGAGCATGTTTGGGACGAGATGGATCGACGTCTACGCCGTCTTCCTCATCCGCCAGATAACGTCCTTGACCTTGCAACAGAACTTGAGAGAATCTGGCGTGACATCCCACAAGCCTTCCTTGCACGTTTGATAGGCTCCATGCGTCGTCGATGCACTGCTGTTCTCAATGCCGATGGTGGACATACCCGTTATTGAGCTTGTGACATCGTCGTTTGACATCGTCCTTTGACCCCTGTCCCGCTTGTGGACTCGTGACGTCATTGTGATTGACTTTTCAATTGAAATTCTCCCAACTTGTTATGATCTCATGATCCCTCCATTAAAGTTTATATGTACCTTTGACATTGTTATCGTACTTATCAACTGGGATAATATTTTGACAATGCAGAGTTTCTTTATGTGGCTAGTATATATTAATTAGCAGTTTTTTAAACATTCTATTTGTAATATTTAACTTCTCACGAATCACACTATATGAGAATGTTAGATCGTTCATAATGACTTTTCTTTTCAGAAATTGTATCGGAAAACATTTTGCCATGAACGAGGAAAAGATCATGCTTGCAAGAATACTTCACAGGTATTTAAGAAACCTTTCTCTCTTGACAACATCTTCTTTATATAAGAGTGTTGGCATTGGTAATTTTGAAATAATACTGATGTTATATTATAATTGTAATTAACCTTGGTAGACAACATCATATACATGTTTGTCTTCAATGTCAATACTGCATTGCACCTGGGTATTTGTTTCGTATTTCAGATACACGTTACAGGTAGATACAAGCCATAACGTGGAACGAAGGAATGCCGGCGTGATGAAGTCAACTGAAGGACTGTGGGTGAACGCTAGACACCGACACTGAACAGTCCAGTACATCATAGGGAAAACGTCAATTCAAGATCACATACAGTCATCCAAGGACACACATTATGTTACGTTCGCACGGTTGTTCGGTTGAACTCTACTTGTTGAATATAGGTGTACTTTACCACTTTATAGAATAATAGGTGACACGCAGTCATAAAATCTGCGAGGTCGTCGAACAGCTCTACCACTGGACGTTCGGGTGGGAGATGGTTGACCCGAGTCCACATTTGTCTGATCACCAATAACCTGATCATCAGTGGTCCGGTCGGTGGTAACTGCTTCTGAATCTTCTGCTTTCAGATGTGTGCGTCTGACGATATGCGACAATATCACCTGAATTCTTCAAAAGATGACGTAGATTTCTCCTGTAGGCTTTTCCATCAGATATCTGTATCTGAAAAGATCGAGGAGCATCTTCTGTTTGACAACTACTGCTGGGTTCCATCTGCTTTTTTGTTGTACTCTCACTACATCTCCATCTTCCAATTTTGACGATTCTTTAGAGTTCTTACCAAAATATTTCTTCTGAGTTTTCTGTTTCTTACTGAGCTTAGTGTTGAATTTCTTCTGGATTGATGATGTGAGGTTTAAGTTGAGATGTACTTTTTGGCAGTGTTGATCTGAGTCTTCTACTCATGAGAATTTGTGAAGGTGACCCAATGTCATCAATAGGTGTATTTCTGAATTCAAGTAAGCTGAGGTAAGGATCTTTCTTGTACATCTTCGCTTTCTCCTGCATTCTCTTCACAATCTGAACAGATTTCTCTGCGAGACTGTTGGACTGTGAATGGAACGGACTAGTTGTTACATGCTGAAATCCCCATTGTCTTGCGATGCGAATTGCTGTCCATTGTCACTGCGTACTTCTACTGGTATTCAGTGTCTTTAGAAGATTGACTTCATGGGGGTTATGACTGTTTTGCTGAGAGTGTTCTCCGATTTTGCAAATTTCGATGTATCTGGAGTAGAGATCTGTCACCAAGAATTAGTCTGACATGAATCCATTCCACATGAAAAAATCTGTACATGTCTTCTCCCATGACCAAGTAGGAATAGTTATTGGAATCATAGGTTCTTTATTTTCAGAATTTCTGAGTTCTAAACAAGTAGTACATCTGGAGATATGTCTGTGGTCTGTGTGCTCATAAAATTGTGAGGGCCAGAAAATTACGTCTCTTGCTTGTTGTTTAGACTTCTCGATGCCTATGTGACCAATCAGTATTTTCTGCAGCATTTCCTGCCTCGTAGCTTTTGGGTTGACTATTCTTTCACCTCGAAGATCATGTTGTCTATCTCTGATAGTTCATCTCTGTATTGTATTTCCAGTATTCATGTACTTGACTGGGTACTCATGATTTGGTGTCAGGCCATCTGTTCAAGATGATCAACAACATCTTCAAATCTTCATCATTGAGAGCAGCTTCTCGTAATACTTCCACTTTGGCATCAGTAGCTGGCCTGGAAGACTAGAAGTTAAAGTGTGAAAATATCATTTTCCAGATCTCCACAATTTTCAGTAGCAGAAATGTACGCCCCGGAGAACGTGTCAGCCAATACCATTTGTTTGCCTGGTTTAGATTAATGAGAATGTATACTTTTACAGTCTTAGCAACATCCGATGTAATCTAGGCGGTGCGGATGAGAGTGGTTCCTTGAGAATGGATTCAACTGGTTTGTGATATGATTCTACATACACATCTCGCCCATAAGCATACTGATGAAATCTTTCTAGACTGAACACCACAGTCAAGAGTTCTTTCTCAATTTGTGCATACCTCTGTTCTGCTTGTGTCATGGACCTTGAAGCGTACGCTGTTGGTAGATCATCTTGCAGTAACACTGCCCGGACTTTGATGCATCACAAGTGACTGTAACTCGTTTTGTGACATCTTAGAACTTGAGTACTCAGTGAATGTGAGTGAGTGAGTTTAGTTTTATGCCACACTCAGCAATATTCTAGCTATATGGCGACAGTCTGTAAATAATCGAGTCTGGACCAGACAATCCAGTGATCAACAGCATGAGCATCGATCTGCGCAATTGGGAACCAATGACATGCGTCAACCAAGTGAGCGAGCCTGACCACCCGATCCCGTTAGTCGCCTCTTACGACAAGCATGGGTTACTGAAGATCAATATTATAACCCGAATCTTCACGGGTCAGAACTTGAGTACTGGACCTGGATCTGCATAAAGGTATTCAACAATCTCCACACATGCATTCTGTTGTCCTTGTGACCATATGAACTCTACATCTTTTCTGAGAAGTTGTCTCATTGGTTGAGATATTTCAGATAGATTTGGAATGAACTTTGCTCTTGTTTCCATCTGGTTTAACATCAGGTGGTGGTATTTTCATGAGTTGTAAGTTTGTGGCCTATGTAGTTAACGTCTTCAACAGCAAACTTACAGTTTTCTTTGTTGAGTGTCAAGTTGATATCCTTGCATCTTTGGAGAACTGCTCTTAGTTGTTCACCGTGTTTTTCTGGAGTTCTGCCCCATATCATCAGGTCGTTGATGTTGGTTTCCACGCCAGGAAGATCTTCAAACCGCTGATAGATTCTCTTCTGGAATACCTCATGTGCAGACTTGATCCCAAACGGCATCCTAAGAAAACAGTATCTGCCAGATAGAGTGTTAAATGTTGTAAACAGTTGCGATGGTTCATCTAGCAATACCTGCCATTATCCAGCATTTGCGTCAAAAAATTGAATACAGTTGAGCACAAGAGAGTTTTGTAGTTATTTCTTCTATCGTTGAAATTTTAAGTGTGTTAACGCTTGATTGTCTCATTAAGATGTTTTGGATCCAAACAGATACGAAGTTTATCAGAGTCTGACTTTTCAACTATCACCAAGGAACTGACCTTGATACTGTCCAAAAGAGTCACTGAGTTTATCTCTGATTTCACTAGACACTTTACCTCGAAGATGTATTACAGATGGATCTGTCTCGATATGATAAAGTTCATTTGGACATCCAAATCCTGTGAATAATTCAGAGAATTCATGTACAAGTATTTCTGACTTGACAGACATCACCTTCATTACGTTGGGTTCATGTGAAGAAAGGGGCGTTTGGGTAGCCTAGTGGTTAAAGCGTTGGCTCGTCACGACGAAGACCCGGGTTCGAATCCCCACATGGGTACAATGTGTGAAGCCCATTTCTGGTGTCCCCCACCGTGATGTTGCTGGAAAATTGCTAAAAGCGGCGTAAAACCAAAATCAGTCATGTGAAGTAAATTCTAATTCATTGTCTCTACATGAAAGCTTGCACTTACCAAAATGTGGTATGATGTCGACGGTGTAACTCTTGAGTTTAACAGATGATTTTCGAGGGGGAATTTGTTGGTAATCTTTGATTTGCCTGAATTTGCTAACTGGAATTATGTTGGCTTGTGAACCTGTGTCAACTTTAAACTTCAACTTTGTACCTTGAACTGACAAATTTATGAAAAGCCACTTCTGTTATAGTAACAGTTGATGTAAACAAAACATCTTCATTGTTTTCACATTCTACTGAACCATGGAAACTTCCTGATGATTCTGGTGATACTACTGCCGTTTCTTCAAGTTCATGAACTAATTTGCTTCTGCAGTATTGTTGATAATGGTTTTACACTTGATACAAATCTTTCCATAAGCTGGGCACTGACGTTAAACATAAATATATCCACAGTTTCGACATTTGAATGTCACCTTCTGTTTTCCTGAATTTTGAGACTTTTATGTTCGGTTTTTGGTTAAGCACCATTATTATGTAGTAAATAAAGAATAAATCTTGTTGGCTTCCGACTGAGTGAATGTAAATGCATCATACATGTCTCTGTCGTCTTGTCCTATGGTATACAAGAAAGCATTCCATTTTTTCTCTCCGTTTGCCTTGGACATACCGAACTTCAAATACAAGTCCATACTTTGTTTCCATTTTCTCAAATAGACCGATCAAGTCCCGGCCGGTAAGCCCCGCCCACTTCGTTTTTGACGTTAGGGGGAACGACCACTGACAAATTACAATGGCGTCACTGTCGGCGAAACGTATGTGATTGCGAACGTTGTTCATGAATTCTGCTTGTGGTACTTTGGCATCCGTCGTTTGTGAATGATATTTAAAGAGGCAAGTTATACGTATATGGGTTTTAATATATTTTAGCTGGCAGACTGCAATTGGCGAGTAAAAATGAGTTACATGCCAGATGAAAAATCATCTCGACCAGCTGCTGAGAGTAGGAAGCGTATTTTCTTTCGAATCAATTAATCTGTCTGGCAATTCACCTCCGTCAAAGATATTAGCAGTGGAAGGGTAACTGAATTTTGTTGTTTGTTGTTTTTCAAAAATTCCCATCATAATTTTATAAAAAACGTGAACACAACCACATGTTCATGTTGCACATCGTTTCGGTATCTATAAATAGATTGTCAGCACTGCGCTGAATCTGAAAACATGAGTTTCTGTCTTTTAATGAATTAAAAGAATGGTAAATAAAAAGCTACTTTATGCACCTTATTTGTCTGTATATAATTAATGTAAACAAATCATCAGCATAACCTATTTGATCTTATTTGGAAATCTGGAAAAGGTAATTGGGCTTGTAAACAGTATGTTTCCATGGACGCAACTTGACATACCCAGAAGCAAATATTCAACAGCTGATCGGCAGCAATTATCAGTAAAGTTTCCCTCTTCAAAATCTGAACGTCATCCTAAAATGACACTGAATATAGGGAAATACATTTTTTATTCATCCTTTCCATTTTATTTTTCTATATGTACTTTGTTGTGGAATCCTAATTTACATACAAACTTCCACAATACTTTTTTTCATCAGAGATGTTTAACTGCTAACTACTCGTGTAAATAAGGTGCAAAGAATATATATCCCATGTTCAAGGCTTTTCATCAATACAATTACATATTGACATTATTGCTTCTTAAACAATGATAATCATTTTTTTATTAGATCGGAGACCATATCGCTAGAGGACACAACACTGATTGTGATCTATTTCCTTTTCTGAGATACTTACTAGTGTCATAAAAATTATAGTAAAGTTGATTCAAAATTTGGTAAAAGTCATAACAAAGGTTTAGGAAACACACATGAAAATGTCCTGAAGCGTTCACCTCCTACAAGCCAGTGTGCAATTTAATATGAAGCTCATTTTCCAAATAACCATCAACAAACCTTGAACAATCGTCCCAAACCAACATCTTAATGAACACTTGCTTTGGCTCAGTCTTCAACTATTAGTAACCTCAAAAAAACCTGCTGATTTATAAGAAGAATTACACCAATCTGGGTTAAATATATGTTTCAATAGTTATTCCGTTACATGA